GTTTTACAGGAATTTCGCAGTTAAGGATATGTTGACTTGCTGGTATCAGCAATATCGTTAAATAATTGGGTTATGTCGAACGAGGGTCAAGAGTCAGTCGTTGTATTGTTTTGTTTATTGTCCAACGTCTGACCCTGCCAGACTGAATTAAATTTTATTGTTTACTAAATAAAGACGCGTATTTTATTGCGTTTGTTTTTAAACTTGGGCGAGAAAACTTTATTTGATGATTTCCCCCGACAAAAAAATAAAATAAACAGTCAATTTTTTTTATGGTATAGATCCGCAAACGATCGTACGGATTACCTGATGGTAAGCAATCAGCGCCGCCCATGGACACCCGCAACAGAGGAGTTATGAGTGCGTTGCCGACCTTTGGGGATTAGGGATTTAGAGATTTAGGGATTGGAGGAGCACTCATATGGCGAAACCCAACGCTGTGGTTGTGTCACGCCGGTTTTGTGTGAGGCCGTGATATCACTCCGGTCGAGCCGACACATTCGTGCCGAAGCATGGCTCTCCCACACAAAACATGTTGTATGGAAGCTCTTAATAATCATTTTCATTTGCTTTTAATAAGTATTTGTTGCTAATTCAGCCACAGAAATGGATCATCGGTCCAAAGTTTATGACTTATGAGTAGGTACAGCTTGGGGACAGATAGATAGACAGACAGAGTGACGGACGGACATCAGTCTTAGTTATAGCGTCCCCGTTTTTATCTGTTTACTCTAAAAACACTAAGAAAAACAAATAGATAGTAGGTATATTTGTTCTATTTAATAGTTAAACGTAGCTGTAAAAACAAAATAGGTGCTAATTATCTAAGTACTTATTATTTTACTTGGGGTCATGAACCTAAATTGGTGTACGTACTCGTAAAAGATGACTTTTTTGTTTTTTATGCTTAGATACAATGATATTATAAGTAAAATGGTATAGATAGGATACATAAACAATATTCGATTTTCAAAAACGGCACACTTACGCACACATGAATAAATCGTATGATACACGTTAAAGTGGGATGGCATGATTCAATAATCACGAGTGAATAACAAAAAATGTATCACTTGCTGCGCGCTTATAACCTATCTACACCTTTCTACTTTTAATACTTAGATATTGAACGTTATGGAATGATGTTCATGTTGTATTTGTTTCCAACCAATTACCAGACCAATCAATCTTTATTTCTTCGGTGCTTTGTATGACCGGAGGCCCAATCCTTCCCCTTCCCCAATCCCTAATCCCTCAAAGGTCGGCAACGCACTCGGAAAATTACGAGTGCGTTGCCTTTCAGCCGGCCTTTTAGGGATTTGGTTTTCGGTGATTCAGGGATTGAGGAGGTCCGCCCTCCTAACCGGCGTGAAACGACTACAGCGTTGTGTTTCGACGTGTAAGTTAGGTTACCGGAGGCCCAATCCTTCCCCTCCCCAATCCCTATACAATCCCTAAATCTTCAAATCCCCAATCTCCAAAAGGTCGGCAATGCAATCGTAAACTGCTTTGTGGTTGCGGATGTCCATAGGCGGCGTTGTTTTTACCATCAGACAAACAAAGAGTTGCTCAGCCACCGCGCAGTGCAAATCGAATTGCGTAGAATTACCAAGATTCAAAATCAGTTCGTCAGTTTTCATGATTTTGGACTTGAAACTATCTATGGAAAAACGCGCTTTGTACACGTTTTTAACACTTTTGGAAAAACCGCAAATGATTAAACATGTATATCACACCTAACAGATGCGATATACCTATACTGAGGTACATACTTATATTTACAATAGCAAATTAGCAAACAGAATCAGGCGATGTGACATGACTATGTAAATAAAATCAATTCGGTTAACGACATGAACAAGATCGTAGAACTAGTCTGTTGCGAAGGTATGATGTTACTATTGCCTACATAACTATGTAGTCGCATGATCAAATATGTCGGTTAAAGATTAAGAATTTGTTTGATATACCAACAGTATTGGAATAATAAGGGTGTTATTTTTTTATGGGCGAAAAAACACCATATATGTGTGACTTCTTCCATCCTGTGTAAGGAGAGAGAGAGAGTGTCGTCAGACTCTAACTAGGAACCACCGCGCTCTTTCTCCTCCTCCTCATCGCGGGGTGGGGGGGGGGGGGGGAGGGAGGAGGGCTTCGGTACATTGTTTCGCTTTCATCTGATACCCAGGCTGAGGAATAAGGGATGGTGGCTTGTGGCGCAATCGCGTGATTTGTCAGGTTTGGATGTGCAAACCTCATTTTGTCTCATGTAATGATTAGGATTGAATTAGGTTAGGTCTTCAGTCAAGATTGTCTAGATAGGATTAGGGAAAATGGCAAAGTATAGGTACAAATGAAAAATCTACTTAGTTCATCATTCAACATGTATTTTTCTATTTTAACGTAGAAAATAAAGGTTATAAGAATACTTATATGGGCCGAGTTCGCTACTACATTTTAAATCGATTTAGGTACCTAATAAATGAAATTTTCGTTTCAGTAAGAAATGAAATAACTTTTTATGTTGTTATCGTTTTGTAACTAGGTATATTCCCTACCTAAAAACAGTGCATTGTGTTTTTTTGTTATCGTAACATTGCTGTCTGTCTGGAGTTTTAAATGAATGTATTTGCCGGAAGGAGAATTAAAAAGAAATTATTCTATTGACACTGGCCCTAATTACTTACGGTCTACCTACTAATGCCGTTTGAATCAACGCCCTACTCAATTCTTTGCTGGAGTCTGTGTTCACCAAACGTATCTTCAAGGCCCGAGTGAATAGGGTTGGCGAGCTCCATCGAAATTCGCATCATAGCTTACCATTAGGCGTAATAGGGAGCATTTGCCTTGCCCTTTACAAATTAAAAAAAAACACACACATGTGGCGGTTTATCGAACCAAGGATATAAACTTATCTCTCAACACGCAAGAGTTTTAAAAGTTCAATACTGAACAATTCAACTTAACACGCAAAATATTACGTTAACAATTTGGGATTAATATACCTATATGTATAGGTAGGTACTTTATCTAAGCGGTATTTTATCCTATATATTACCTATATCTTTAATTTATTTATTGCATTCGATGCAACCTATCCTTGATACCTATAAAACACTTGTTTTATTAATATCTTTATTATCTGAAGTCAAAAGGTATTATTGTTAGGCATAGGTAGGTAACTACCTACATATTTAATCTTATTTGCTTACGCAAGTATTCTTGTATTGCTGGAAACTTCTGTTTATGAATAAAAAATAATTGGGCATCCGGTAACCTCACGCACACGGCGAGACAATACACTATGGCCATTTCACCCTTATTTTCTGTGAGGCCGTGGTGTCATTTAGGTCGAGCTGGCCCATTCGTGCCGAAGCATGGTTCTCCCACACTTTTTTTTTATGGTATAGGTCGGCAAACGAGAAGACGGATTACTTGATGGCAAGCAATCGGCGCCGCCCATGGACACCCACAACACCAAAGGAGTTACGAGTGCGTTGCCGGCCTTTTGGGGATAAGGGTTGCGGATGAAGGATCGGGAAGTGATAGGGGAAGGGGCGGGATTGAGTATCCGGTCACGCACACGGCGAAACATAACACTATATTCGTTTCATGCCGGTTTTCTGTGAGGACGTGGTGTCGCTGGTCGAGCAGGCCCATTCGTGCCGAAGCATGGCTCTCCCACACTCAAACTTACTTAGTTGTTGTTGTTGCTACATAACCTTATGATTAGAATGGATGTGCCATCATCATAATTATCATCTATTTGTAGATGTTATCTATACAAATATTATAAAGAGGTAAAATTTGTAAGTTTTATGTAGGGGGTAACCTTTGAAACCGCGCGAGAGTAACTAATCCTATATATAAATCTACGTATTTTTGAAAGGTGAAAACTATCCATTGACTTTTCAAGCCTGGACTGGGGCCAGAGGGAGTGTCACTCTCTTACTGACTAGATCTCTCCTTCTCCTGCTCCCGGCTAAAACTACTCCGATACTTCTACTGCTCCGATCTGCGTCCACATCCCTGGCTGGATTCTGATCATCTACAATACTATCTATCATCTACTTGTGATCAATTTGCCACCCTTTCTTCATTCTGTTTTAAAATATGTTGTCTAAAAATTTGTTAATTGGTATTTTTGATTTAGCCAAGTTAGTTTATTATTACTTGTCTCCTTTATAATAAGTAGGCCTGTACATGATCGTGAATTGTTGGCAGCGGTTCAGGGTGTCAATAAAGGAGGTCAAAATTAATCGTTTGTTTTTGATAATATCAATAGAATAAAACAAAGATCGAGACTTATCTATCACAGTTGCCTATAATTCTAAATAGTTTATCATAGTTACTCTAAGATAATTATTTATATTATTATGAATATAATATAGATATCTTCAGTATCTTAGAGTTTTTTCTTATTGGTGTCTTTCCGTGCCTAGTAATGTTTTCAGACAGATCTATACCACATTATATTTTCTGAAAATAAATTCCTTACTAATTAGAAGAATTACGTTCTTACATTTTTTTCAGTCTCAGTTGAAATTGAGAAAAATATTTTTATTGTTATGGAGACCCAATCCTTTCCCTGCCCCAATCCCTCAATCTCCGAATCCCTAATCCTCAAAAGGTTGGCAACGCACTCGTAAGTCTTCTGTTGTTGCAGGTGTCAATGGGCGGCGCTGATTGATTACCATCAGGTAATCCGCCAGCTAGTTTGCCGACCTATCACATAAAAAAAACAATTTATTGAGGAAGGCTTTAGGCTATAAAACATCACGCTACGATCTGAACGAGTCGAGCAGCGGGTGAAACCTCGGGACAGTAGCTAGTTGCTTATAAAGATGGCGATGTTGATGACACAAGAAAAATAAAAGAAAACCCAAATATTGAATAATGAATGAAATTCTTCTTAGAAAATAATATAATCGTTACGTAATTCATTTAGGTACTTACCTACTGTTACCTAATTTGTAATTACAATTGCAATAAAACTGAATGGCGCATCTCTTATCGATTTATTTAAACCATAAATGTATAATTTTAAGTCCATAGATATGATAACAGTTCAGTATATATATATGTCCTATAAAAAGTTCTGGCATGATTGTATAGCATCTTCTGGATCCACGCAATCAACAGAGGTAAGAAAAAGTGGATTCATTTATTGTATTGTAATTTATTTTACATTACAGATTGTTACAAAATGCATTTTTTTTTGGAATGTAATTTGCGGAGTCTAATCACGACAATTTTTTGTTCTTTGTTATTCTTTCCTATTTTGTAATTGTAAAGTCTAGTAATTTACCGACTTAAAATTGTAATTAAAATAAAAGCTAGATCTGCCAAAAAACCGCTCTATAAGTTGGCAGAAGTAAAGGATCAAGTACCTACTACAAGTTTACTTTATCCTGAAATATTGTTAAAAAAACAATTCTTGATTTTCGTACTATTATTGACTTCCTCGTTGTCACATACCAAAAGCCTGAGTTCCGTCCACTGCTGGGTTTGGAGCTTCCTGGTTAAGAAAGATGTGTCATAATTAACAAGTGGGTAGTTAGTAGTTCCATATTGGAGAACAAATGAACAGATAGTAGGGTAATCAGCGCCGCCCATGGATACCCAAAGGAGGCAACACCAAAAGAGGTTCTAATGTGTTGCCAGCTTTCCGTCTGTTAATTATTCGAGGTCCTGGTACTAGACGAGCCGTCGACCATTCCCGCCGAAGTATGGCATTTTTTTGGAGGGGGATGGTCAACACATTATTTACCCGCCCTAGAAGGGCTAGGGGGAGTGTTGGACTCTTTGTGACCAGAAACCACCCCGTCCTACTCCTGTTCTAGGCCGGGGTCGTGGTATATTATTGTGCTTAATTAAGAGACAGGATTCTGATTATTTATGATATCTGGTTGATTGCCTTTCCTCGAAAAAAAAGAAAGAAAAGTGTTAAGAAATATCGAATTCGAAATTTTTAGGTAGTTGTAGGTACCTAAATTATTATTATGAATGGTTCTAGTAACAGCTACAATGTTGAGTACCTACACACCAAATGTATTTTCTTGCATTTCTGATTCAGTGCTCTAGTATGTTCTCAACCCACGCTCACCAATACCCTTATTATTTTCAGACAAAAATGAAATTCTTCGTTGCCTTCGTTGCCCTTGTGGCCATTACCGTCGCCAGCCCGGTGAGCAAGCCCGTCGACCATGACCTGGCTCACTTGGAAGCCATCATCGCTGCCATCAACAGTCCCAGCACCGACCCCGCCACCGCCGCACTCCTAGAGCAGCAGCTCTTCGACATCGTCAGCGCTGTCAGCCCTGTTGACGTTGGACCTGCTATTGTCCCCCAACCAGAACAGGAGCCAGTTGAGGAAATTGCCCAGGATATCCCCCAGCCTGACTTCGGTGCCGTCACCAACCCTGTTGTCCCCTCCCCTGTGGTGGTTGGACCTATCCCCGAAGGTGCTCCTTCTCCGCTTGTCCAGATCATTGTGAACATCAACCACGCCTCCAAACCCGAGCCCATCCCCATTGGCCCAGTAGTTGAGCCTGAGCCTGTTGACATCGTTGAAGTTGAGCCTGTACCCGTCCAGGTCGTCGATGTTAAGCCTGAGCCTGTTGATATTGTGCCCGAACCAGTTGTGGAGCCTGAGCCCGTGCCCGTAGAGCCCGTGCAAGTTGAGGTCCCCAGCCTACCCGAGCCCGCTGTCCTGCCTGATGAGCTCAACTAAACAGCCTGATGACAGATTATGTATCACTATGATGTAACGAATTGTACTTACTAATTTGTACGTTTAAATAAATTGTTGTTGACTTTTTGTACGTTTTTTCTTTCATTTTGATAACCAATTAGTTTTTATTATAACTTTCGTCAGACATTCCAAATTAATTACCTCTAGCATGGCTTCAAACTAGTCGAGTATCTCGTCAAATTATTACGTGAGTAAGCCGAAAACATAGGTAATAATTAACAAATTAGTTATATCTGGTACATAGACGAAACTAACTATCGATACTCTATCAATAATTAATCACTTCGTTGTAACGTCCAAGTCAAATCATTTATTTCAAACCACTTAGGGTATTTTTGAGAACAAAATATGAAAAAAGTTCAAATTTGTATGACAGTCTGTCGGTCTGTCCTCTACTGAAGCTCGTTCGCTCGTGCTCGTTCCAAAGTGTAGATTCCTATGAAGAAGAACGAGGAACTCCTTGGTTACTCTCGTTCAAACTATTTCACAATTCATTTTGTTACATCATTTATTCGGTTCTAATATGTGAGACCAGTGTAATACTAATATTTAGTCAAAGCATCGGAAAAAGAATATAATCTCGAGAACAAATATCCAGACAGTCTCGAGTAGACCACTCCCAATTGACGGCGCCCGGTCACGAATATGACAGGTACTCCAGCACCGCCCAACTCAGCCATATTACAAGGAAACGAGCAGTCCAGCGCCTGTGCCACCTCCTAAGTGACTTTTGCCTGAGCATGAAAACTTCTAGCTGAAACAAGTACAGATATTCTACTAGTCTATTTTATTTTAAGAAGTTAGGTACCTACAGGATACTCACACCAACAAAAAAAAAATTAAGTTCATCAACATATAACAACATATTGATAACTAGTGTATCATATTTCATAATGAACTATTTTTGTAATTATTATCCTGTGGAGTGGTCTAGTTAGCCTCCAAGCATCTTATCCTATAATCATTTATTTGATAACATACTTGTCTACATAATGTTTATACATAGCTAATGTAAATTTACTTTAATTTCTTATTTTAGCTACCTTTAAAAGGGATTCCAATTTTGGAGACAATATTTTTTTACTTACTACTCTGTGGGCAACCCAAATTGCCATCAACACATATAAAGGTAATATGTTGCCCTAAATACTAAATACCTACTGTACAATGCTTCGTGTGTAAATACTCGCAGTATTTAAAAATAAAGATATACTTTAAAAATAAAGATATTCTTTCCTATTTAGGTTGACTTGCGCCTTTACAATCTTAACGATTAATTTCAACACTACGTTACGTTTAATTATAATATCTATATCGCTCTTAGACAGATTGCTCAAGTAAATTTTATAGGCGGATTGATTTAGTTAACTAATATGATTATAAATATGTACACACGCGACTTATCGTATTTTATGCATTTATATGGATAAAATTTTAAGACCTAATATAATTTTGCATAAAGTAATTTGGTACAATTATATATATCGCATAATATGCATAATTACGCAGCATAATTTCTCTAACCCTCATAATGATAAGGCATAAGTCTCAAAAGCATAAACTTATTAAGCACTCTCTCTCTCATCTCACGCGGTTTCACTCGGTGCTCGGCTTCATTTGATCGTTGCGTGATGTTTAATAGCCTATAGCACTCAGGAACATTGTAGCTATCTATCAGTGAAAGAATTTTGGCAATCCGACCAGCGGTTCCAAAGATTACCCCCTGCGTACAACTTACAAATTACAAACTTACAAATTTTACCTCTTTATAATATTATTATAGATATAGTTCTAAAGTATAACTTTTTTAACTTTTGTAACGTTATTAAGCATATTATCCTAAAGCGTACATTTTAAGCATAAATTACACAAAAGCATATGAAAACATATTTTTATTTATTAACAATGAATTAATTATTAACACCTAGTATATTCGACACTATACACAATACTGTTCTAATGAAGTTCGTAGGCGCTTGATATTTCACGGAGCATTTTCGTCGTTTGGCCCCTAAGTTGGAACGGTCTGGGGCCGCGCTCAAGCGGCTCCTTTCCAACCTCGGGGGGCCAAACGCCTCCTGCCGGAGGTTGTATATGGGGATTGTGCGATCCATGGCCCTCTACGGTGCCCCTGTGTGGGCGCAGGACTTGAAGCGGCGGCCGGCTCGTACGCTGGTCGCGTCCCAGAGGGTCATGGCCATCCGAATAATCCGCGGATATCGCACGATCTCCGGGGAGGCGGCGAACCTCCTTGCCGGATCACCGCGAAAAAAAAAAAAAAAAGAGGCGCTTGATATTGTAGGTAGAACAGATTTTTTTTTCAAGCGAGCAGCAAGTATACAGTATGCAAGCAAGCAAGCGACGACCATTTTACAATTTAGGCAGTTTTCTGTAATAAAATAAACCTAAAATAAAATATAACCTCGTTCCTTGTCCTGTTCTGAGCCGAGCCGAGCCGTTCTATTGGCTCTATAAGGCGCGCGGAACCCTACGCACCGTACACTCGGTTTTGGATCTGTTGGAGCGGCGAGCTACCCTATCTCGCCTACCGCTGACCCACGCTTACGGTGGCTGGAGACCGTCTTTCGACCCCCGACGCCCAGTGTCGCCTACTGCGGCGGCTGGGGCGTGATTAGGGCGATTGCTCCATCACGCGGTCCACCTCTTTTGCAAGCATAACTGCGTTACACAAGGAGGAGACGGCTTCCCAGTTCCTATCGCTCCGCACCATAGCCTCGACTTACACAGTGTCGTCTGGGTAGTCCTTACAATGACGACACTCGGGCATTTCTTCCCGCTGGATGCGAATCAGGAAGCTACTGTGATAAGATGCCGAGACCGCCCGGACGCCGTGGCATCTCTCAAGCCACTCTTCAAAGAGTAACGGTCCACCTGACATCTTGTTGTCTCCCGATCAATCTTAGATGTTTGTAGCTAATATTAAAATGCGTTTTAGAAGTTACTGCTGTACAACAACAGACATCAATCTGTTCCTATTTATAAAGATCTTTTTTTAATCTTATAAGCCTTAGGGCTAATCTAGCTAAAGCAATGGTAATAATGTGACGAAATTTTAATGGAGGATGTTTAAGGTAATTTTGATGAAACGTTACGTTGTTTCATATTATTGTGACTATGATTATAAAAGAGGCGATGACAGAATTGATTTAGCTACAGTTAAACTAAGGAAAAATAGCGTAACTTGTCTTCAAACTTCTAACTTCCTCGCTTTATCTTTTAAATAAGGCAGCCTAAAAATTCTAAGGTTTTTGTAGTGTAATTAATGCACAAATAACAATGCGTGGTGTAACATGTTTGTCACCTTTTTTTAAGGTATAAGTCGGCAAACGAGCAGACGGATTACCTGATGGTAAGCAATCGGCGCCGCCCATGGACACCCGCAACACCAAAGGAGCCTTTTGGGGATGGGGGTTGCGGATATAAGGATTGGGAAGGGATAGGGGAAGGGGAGGGATTGGCCCTCCGGTAACCTTACTCACACGGCAAACACAAAGCTGTGGGTTGTTTCGCGCCGGTATATCACGATAATATATATTCACAAAATTGTCGTTTCCTTAAAATTTGAGACGAAATTTGTGGACTTTGTTCACGACACGTAAAAGATGGCGTAGCTACCTTTAATGATAGGAAACGTACCGAATCGTAAATAAACATATTTGGAAATTCCTATCAAGGAAACATTTTATAATTCTGCCACGATATTGTAGATTTATTGCAACAATACAAAGATACTATTTACAACTGATAGTGATGTCTGGTAAACTGCTATACACGAATATCGCTTTGGTGGCAGAAAAGAGTTTTAACGTATCTATTATTATTTTTTTACCCTTCATCCCAATTCAGTTGGAGTCAGCGCAACAATATTTTTTTTTATGGAATAGGTGGCAAACGACCAGACCGATCACCTGATGTTAAGCGATCGGCGCCGCCCATGGACATCCGCACCAGAGGAGTCACAGGTGCGTTGCTGGCCTTTTAAGAAGGAATACGCTCGTTTCTTGTAGGTTTGAAGGTCGTATCGGTTCGGGAATACCGCCGCCGGAAGATCATTCCAAAGTTTTGCTGTGCGGGGCAGCAGGACATGTTATGTCTTTTTCAATTTCCCCCTGTTAAATGGCATTACATCTATATTACTCTCGTCTCTTTCATACTAATTGTTTTGTAGGCCTTTTATCATTTCCTTGATTATCTTTTGTTATGTTCTGAAGTGGCAAACGAGCTGACGGATTACCAGATGGTAATCAGTGAGCTCGTTGCAATCGCTGCCAACGGACACCTACAACAACAGGGGAATTGCGAGTGCATTGCCGACTTTTCGGTGATTAGGATTTTGGAAATTTTGGGATAGGGAAAGGGTAAGGACTGGGCCTCCGGTAATCTCACTTACGCGGCGAAACACAATGCTGTGTTTTTTTCACTCGGGTTTTCTGTGAAGCCATAGCTCCGTTCAAGCCGACCCATTCGTGCCGAAGCATGGCTCTCCTAAAGTGACATCATCTTACCCATTAACTTTGTCATATGTTTTTATTTCTATTTAGCCTTTATTATTACCATCACCCGAATGGGCAGCAGGAACGGGTGTTCCATTGCTGCGTAAAGGATTTGATCTTACCCGCATCGAAAGACAACATATTATTATGCATCCATAATGATCTTGGCATGTAATTTTTGAACCAAACCTGTCTATATCTGATATATCATGTACTTGTATTTCTAGCAACAGTTATTATGAAATGAAACAGTTAGGAGAGTATTTAGATTTTTCAATAATTATTTATTTACGAAACAAGCAGCCTCTTAATACAGTAAAATTAACACATATAGACTTTGAGTTCCAATTTATGAGATGTGTGTGTGTGTGTTACACGTGTCCCATTTGGACCATTTCTACATTTTTTTCTTTTCGAACGAGTCAGAAAACTATCCTACTCTCGCTTTAGCTGCCGCGGGAGGAGACACTTCAGGCGTCGGCGATCTTAGCCACCGTAACCGCGGGTCTGCGGACGGCACGCAAGGGTAGCTCGCTGCCTGAACGGAACCCAGACCCGAGGGGACGGAGCGTAGCGTTCCGTGCGCGCCTCAAATTGCCAACAGGCCATCACACATGGGAACCAATAGTGCTAATGGTCACTCCTCATTCCACTTTAAATAATTAATAGGCCAAATCTATGAGAGAGAAAGAAAGAAAGAAAGAAGAAAGAAAACATGTTTATTTGGCACTCCATGAAGAACAATATAAAATAAACAATTAGAATCTCAAGTAACATGAAAAAGGAAAAAAAAAAAAAAAAAAACTGGCTGTGCCAGTTCAGCATAAAGTCAGACAACTACGTAACAGTTGCCTGACGCTGGTTTTCAACTGAACCTAACCTACTGAACCTTGAAACGAATTGATACTGCAGAAAATGACGAAATTTTAAACTTATGTAATGTGTAAAATATGTAAACAATCACACATCTCAAGAATGATGAAGAGAATTTCTCATTAGTAAAAAAAAAACTTGTTTGACGAAAATGCCAATACTTACAATTTTAACAATATACCTTTTTTATTAAGTGCCTTGTTTCTAAATATCTTTTTATAAAGACCCTAAACTGTACTTCCCCAATAATCAGAAGCTGTCATAATTATATATAATATTTTTATATTTTATATGCAGGAAACAAAGCAATCCCTTTAACTGACAATAAATTTTATATCGTTTTATCGTCTTGTCAGATAAAGTTTTAGTATAAAATGTCCCCAAATTAAAAAAAAATTCAATAGATACTTTGTATCTCGCAGCTATAACAAGCAGCATATAAGTAAGTTAATTCAATTATAAATATTCTACTTCTAACTTATTGCATTTCTCTTCTCTTCTGTCTTCAGAATCGTATCACTTTCAAGAACCCTTCTGACCATGTCACTGAGTTTATCTAGTTATTCTTCTGTACTTTCATTATACTAAAAAACTTCTTAAACCTTGTACACAATGTGTTTGAAATAGTTGGTATAAATGTACATATTTTTTCACAGAAATGAAATTCCTGCTGTCTTTCGCTGCCGTCATCGCCGTGGCCGTCGCTGTGCCTGCACACCGCGGCCTGGTGCCCGTTGGTCCCGCTGGCCCTGTGCCTGCCCCTGAGGCCCCTGAGACCTTCGAGCCCATCGCTATCGGACCCGCTATAATCGACTCCTTCGAGCCCATCGCCATCGGACCAGCTATTATTCCATCCCCCGAACCCATTGCCATCGGACCCGCCATCATTGAGAGCCCAGAGCCCGTTGCTGTCGGACCCGCATGGGTTGACTTCCCCAAGCCTGACGGTGGTGCTGTTTCTGCCCCCGTTGAGCCCTCTCCCGTAGCTGTCATCCCTGGCCCAGTTTCCTCTGAGGTTGCTTCAGGTACTCCTCTTGTTCAGATCATCCTGAACATCAACCAGGCTTCTGCTGTCCCTAGCCCCGTCATTGTCGGCCCTGCTACCAACCCCGAGGCTATCGTGCCTACACCCGTCGATGTTGTCGAGGTCGCTCCTGAGCCCGTCCAGGTCGTCGAGGTCGCTCCTGAGCCCGTCCAGGTCGTCGAAGTCGCCCCCGTGCCCGTAGAGCCCGTCGTCATTGGAGTCCCCATCCTCCCTGAACCCGTTGTCGCCCTCCCCGAGGAACTCAACTAAACACCTGCCATCCCGACGAGCCACTGCGCATGACAATGTAACATCTTAAATTGTTAAAACTATTTTTATGGACTTTCTACCACCACCTTGAAACGCTTGTATGTCCAGTATTGAGATACATTAAAAGACCTAAAATGTAAATATTTTGTTTTCTTTCCTTAATGAAAAATATTACCGACGGAATATGTTTTGTTACTTATAATTTTTGTATACATATCAATTAGTTTTTATATGAAAAAATATCTGAAACACTCAAATATCATCAGTATCTTCATAAATCCATCTGTACATCCATCATTCTACAAGAGCCCACTGCAACGCTTTAACCACTACTCAACGTCGATTGGCGGATTGACTTACAATGAAAAAGCGATGAACATCGCTTATAATACCTACATGAAACAGTACACGATTTAATACATATAGAACATAGAATACGGGCATGTGGCATATTTTTGCTATCAGCGATGTGGATGCGGTGTTGTAGTTAAGATTAATGTCAAGTAGGGTCTGGATCAGTAGAATGCAATCAGTGACTTGAGCAGTACAATACGAGATTGAGACTACAGGCTCCTCAATAATGCCAGGGTTGAGGAGCAAGCGCTACCACGACCTCGGCCAGAAGCAGGAGAAGAAACGGCGTGGGTTATAGCCAGTAAGAGTCTGATATTCCCTCTCACGTTACTTTGGGCGTGAAAAGTCATTCAATGATAGTCCCCTTAAAAAAGGATCCTCAATGATTTCACCACTGGACAGGGGGCGGTCAATGATGAAAGGCAAAACAGAGATGGGATATTGGTGATTGTCGATGTTATGGGGTAATGGGAATGGTATCAGCGTCAGCGAATGATGTCAAGTCCAATGGTGTTACAACAAGGTGCTTTGGAGGTTTAAAAGACTCAGGGGCAGGTACTGGGCCTCCAGGTCCACCAAGACCATGAAATTGGTCGCAATGTTTGTCTTGAATAATAAAAGACTTATTAGTTAAATTAATCTTATTTATTTTTTTATCATTTCATAGTATGAGACTAAGTCATTTTTCCTGTCCTTATCTATGCTTTTCATGTCGATATCTCCCTATGTATACTTAAATCTTTAAACGATGCAACGGATTTTGATGCGGTTATTTATTAGATAGAGTTATGAAAGTGGTAGGTTTATATGTACAACTAACTTCTCTCGCACGGTTCACCCGCTGCTCGGCTACATGTGATCGTAGCGTGATGTTTTATAGCTTATAGCACTCAGGAACATTGTAGCTATCTATAAGAGAAATAATTTTGGCAATCTGACCAGCGGTTCCAAAGATTACCCTTCATACAAACTTCAAACACACAAACTTAGAAATTTTACCTTTTTTAAAATATTAGTATAGATAACATCTATTGAATAGTGGAAAAATTTAGTCTCAGCTTTGCACCTGTGTGAAGCCGGTGCGTTTGTTAAGTACTATGTAGTGATTAAGCACAAACTATAGATGTAGATAGGTGGAAAGGTGGACTGGAAGAGAATGCTTATTGCATTAAGTCCGCCTTATGTACAATTTTGGATCTGCATAAAGTTAAAAATAAATAAATATAGAGTACTATTTACTACAATAATTAATGCCATGGTGGCCCGGAGGTTAAGGAGCCCGATTCTCATGGCAAGTACCAATGAGACTTTTTCAGAGTTATATGTACTTTCTATGATTATTTAGACACCACTGACATACGTTGAAGGTAAACATCGTGAGGAAACCTGGACTTATAATTTCTAATTACAAGTTTGAAATCGCCAACCCGCATTGAGCAAGCGTGGTGGTTAATGCTCTCAACCTTCTCCGTTTGAGAAGAGGCATTTGCTCAGCAGTGGGCACATATAGGCTTCTGATGATGATGATGATGATGATGATGATGATGATGAACTACAATATATTCTTGAAAAATATAATACTTAATTGGTTTTTTCGCTAACGTATACTCATCGTTTGAAGTAGTTTCTCATCGCACTTTAACTGAGTCCTATATCTTTCCATTTTCGCATCCATCCACTCCCAGTTAGTTGCGCACATCGTCATCCCATATATTTGGAGGAAAACCAATTTTTTTGAGTTTTTAAATGTCAGACTCCTTTCTGACTAAAAACCACATTGTCCCTTCTCCTTCTTTCCCTCCTTCACCCACAATCCTTTTACAACGACGTTCACCGAGTCACGTTTATAACAAGGAACCTATCTCTGAAGAATCCTAAAATTGATTTAGTAATTCATCATCCTTTGGACGTGTTAAACACATGTATTAGCGACTTAATATCATCAATAATTTTGTTGGATCTGTTATATCTGGTATTGTGAGCTGTGATTTGGCATAATTTTTCAAAATCACATTTTCTTTACACAGTATTTGGTTTTTAATCGAAAGACCAGAGAATAATAAAATCCGTAATTGTATGTTAAATTGTTATTAAGAATCACCATACTTACTAACTTCACTCCGGTAGATACTCTTTTCTGTTCCATGTGCAATGACTCATCGGATTCTCTAGTTGAAATAATTTGCTTGTAAGTATAATGTACATAGTTCCACTACTTTATCGAATGTTTAGCAAGTCAGTGACTACAAATGAAGACCAGTGAGAACCTAAAGAAAGGTTATGTTTGCAAGGAGTATGGATAGGTATTAAAATGATTCGTAGTGTAGTTAGTACTACGTTGTTTCGCATGAAACTGGTGTTAGTAATATAAAAACCGAAAGGAGTAAGAAATTTTCAAAAAGTGAACCTAGTTTATCAGAGGAAACATGATAATAGCTAAACTGGTATACGTTCTTGTAAAATCTAAGCAGTCGTATTAAGTACCTAATGTTATTAATAGGACTTTGTTTGGGACGAGTCACTAAGGTACCTCCACACGACAACCTCAAAAAGTGTTTTAAATGATAAAACAAAGTGATGGAAAAAGTCTTGTTAAAATTTATCTTAGGCAGTATATACAAAGGCAGGCATTTTGAAGTAGAAACTAACGTTTCTCTTGGTCAATGTTTTTGGGTATCTTAATAGTATTTAGTAGACATTATAATTTAGTTGAGTTCCTCGGGGAGGGCGACGACGGGTTCAGGGAGAACGGGAACTCCGATGACGACGGGCTCAACGGGCACGGGGGCGACTTCGACGACCTGGACGGGTTCGGGGGCGACCTCGACGACCTGGACGGGCTCGGGGGCAACCTCGACAACATGGACGGGCTCAGGGGCGACCTCCACAATGTGGACGGGCTCAGGCACGATGGCTTCGGGGGCGACAGCGGGTCCAACAGCGATGGGGCTAGCGGCCTGGTTGATGTTCAGGATGATCTGCACCAGAGGAGTGCTGGCAGCAGCGACGGGAGCAACTTCAGCGGGAGCGGGAGCGACAATAGCGGGGCCGGGGACGACGGGCTCCTCAGCGACAACACCACCGTCGGGAAGGGGGAAGTCAATGATAGCGGGGCCAACGGAGATGGGGTGGGAGTCGGCGTCGATGACAGCGGGTCCAATGGCGATGGGCTCGAAAGAGTCGATCACGGCGGGTCCGATGGCGATGGGCTCGAAGGAGTCAATGACAGCGGGTCCGATAGCGATGGGTTCGAAGGCTTCAGGGGCCTCAGGGGCGGGGACTGGGCCGGCAGGTCCAACGGGGACAAGCTCGGGGGCAGGCACGGGGCCAGCGGGTCCAACGGGCACCAGGCCAGCGACGGCCACGGCGATGACGGCAGCGAAAGACAGCAGGAATTTCATTTCTACGAACAGAATTAGAGAAAATTAGTAAAAAATTACTAGCGAAGAAATAACAATCAAACAATTAAATCATTAGATAGGTACTTACTTGTATGTTTACTTGCAAAATACAAAGTATGTTCATCAATTAGAATTCACGTTAATTTATACGAAAGTGTTATCGAATTAAACGGTAAAACTTTTGTTTTATTGCTAATCTTAGAAGATAATGTTTTCGCGTTGATAACTTTGTGATAAGCGTTTACGCGGAAGTTTTATATTTAAGCTATTTTATGACAGTTACCTATGATATCGATTCCTAATTACGTATTTAAATTAGTCATTTAAAATTCATGATGTTGGTACATATTATAAGACTAGTCATATCATCATTATTAAATATGCAATAAATATTTTATTGTTTATCTCGATAGGTATCTACCAAGAGACTATCTCACTGAGGCCTCGACTGATTCATACTTGAACCCTTGAACCCAACAGAATGTAAAGGCAAGACAAAGGGCAGATGGACCGCACGGTACAATATAATGTGGCTTGGTAGATCTATAAAAACACGTTTTCCTAGGTACTCTACTCGTACCTATCAAGTGTGGGATCTACATACTACTCAAGTGTGGGAGAGCCATGCTTCGGCACGAATGGGTCGGCTCGAGCGGAGTGATACAACGGCCTCACAGAAAACCAGCGTGAAACAACCGTAGCGTTGTGTTTCGCCTTGTGAGTGTTAGCGGACTCCTTCCCCTCCCCTAGAGGAGGAGGAGGAGGAGGGATCTCCTCAATCCCTAAATCTCCAAATCCCTAATCCCTAAAAGGTCGGCAACGCACTCGTAACTCCTCCATTGCGGGTGTCCATGGGCGGTGCTGATTGCTTACCATCAGGTAATCCGTCTGCTCGTTTTCAATAATATCTAAATAAATAGTTTTCCTTTGCTTCTTTTTTCGTTCTTCTATTACATAAAAAATAGCATGTCCATCAAACTATTACATACTATAACATAATTTAGTTAAGACTTATATCCTCCGGTCAAATTATTGGTCAAAAAGTACATTTAAACATACCAATCAAAAAGTGAGACAAATAAAACATTATTATCGAAATATTTTTGTAAATCGTTTCCCATACATATTCCCCAACTTAAGGGTAAAAGATTTCAAAGTAAACTAGCAACACCGACCGATGTTTGTTAAGGTAAAGGTTTTGTGTTCCGAGAATTCAGTAAAAATTATTACGTAAAATAATATCCAAATAGACAAATAGGTAATCAATATCTATCAATGAAAAGGTACTTTTTCTCTTTATTTTCATTTTTGGCACATTTTTTACAATATTTGAGAACACAAGATGGCGTTATTTTCAAAAATAATAAAATGGTCTATGACGTAGGTACTATCGATGTGACGCTTCGTGACGTACCGACTCAAGTTTGTATTCGCTTTTGAATTTGTACATTTGCTTTGGTGGCTTCACTTTCGTGTTCTTCTGGTTCTGGTTCAATCTGCCTTTGTTTTTAACCGACTTCATGTAAAGCTTTTGTTTGTTTAAATGTTTTTTGCGCACTCACGCGCGTAGTTGCGTTTTGTAGATTCACGCACGGCGGCTCTTGCTCTATTCGCATTGGTCGTGCATCACGATAGTTTTGATAAAAATGGTGTGGAACTCATTCAGTACGCTGCCATTATACTAACTGTTTTTGTACGGTCAAATTATGACAAATCGTGCCTACAATAATATATAAGATACTGGGTACAACCAACCAACCGTTCAAAATCACGCGCGGCGCTGCGGGATTCAGTGTGCCATACCTTGCGTCTCGCCCCGCACCTACGCGCGGGGGTGCATGTTTCTCCGCGTGTATCGCGTGATTCGCATGAACGCGCGTGGATGCATTTTCTGTGTGTTAGACTGTGCGTGTTTTCAATACAAATGGAGATACGCTATATATACGCTACGCTGCACCATGCGGGGCAGTGTGAGAATCGCCTAAAGTGTACTGCGATCAAAATTCTAGCAGATTGATTAAATGGCTACTGTAGCCAGTTAACTGCGATATATACATTAACGGCGTATGTCCTCAACATATTAATCAATTGTTCTTAGTACTAAGTTTGTGTTTGAGTGTGGCGTTACACAGATCTGACAGTCTCCTTCGTCTGAATTTTTACATTGCAGTAAAAAGAGGTTTTATTGGACAAACATATAACTTAAACATCATGATAAAACTGTGATAACTTTTCAAATACTTGAAATGTATTTAAATTAACGTAATAAAGAAAGGTAGCCAGTGTCTACGAATATTATTATAATGAAGATATCGGCGCTACATAACCTGTGACATATTTATAACTGATAACCAAAATCTCTTCTTTTCGTATCATATGCAAAAACCAGATCCTAATATAATGTTTAACTTTCCAGTAGGTATACATAATTATAAGCAAACAACGTGAATGTAGCAACAGACTAACTTTATTCCACTTTCAAAAGTATTCATAGACAATTAGACAATTTTTTTAGAAAGAAGAGGGCTGGGGTCGATGAAGGATTGGATCTGCGATAACCTCATTCACAATGCGAAACACAACGCTGTGTTCATGCTGGTTTTCTGTTAGGCCGTGATATCACTCCGGTCAATTTGTCCTAAAGCTTAGATCTCATTTAAAGGAAGAATCATTAGCGAGGGTTAGTAAAAAAAACAAAAATATTGATCAAAACATTCCTTTAATTTTTGTGTTCAAAATTTTATCAAAAACAGCACAACACATCGTCGTTATAGGTTAAAATTGATAGTATCTATAAAAAAATTCAGTATGATATGCAGATCGAAATTTAATCGAAAGATACACCTTAGTAAGGATGCATACAATGTTTATAGTGCGGTAGTCTTCTTAGTTGAGTTCAGGAGGTGAGACGACTGGTTCAGGGAGACTAGGTTCACCGATGACGACGGGTTCAACGGGGATGGGTTCGGGTTCGGGTTCGGGTGCCACTTCAACAACCTGAACAGGGTCAATTGGAGCTGGGGCTTCATCAACCACATGCACGGGCAGAACGGGCACAGGCGCAGGTGCACTCGCAGCAGCGTTGACGTTCAAGATAATTTGCACAAGGGGAGCCTTAGGAGCTGGGATGATAGCGGGACCAACAGCAACCGGCTCAGGAACAATAGGGACGGGGTCCGGGACTATGGCGGGTCCGATAGCAATGGGGTGGAAGTTGTCAAGGATGGCAGGGCCTATAGCAATCGGTTGGAATGCGTCTTCAGGTTCAGGTGCGGGGGCTGGGCCAGCAGGACCAACTGGCACTAGGCCAGGGTGGGCTACTACCACTGAGATGAGGGCAGCGAGAATCAGGGCTCTCATGGTTTCTGTTGGTGAAAAATAATATTAATTCAAATTAGTTTTAAATGAAGTAAAAAAAATGTAACTATTACGTTTCACTTCATTGCAGATTTCACTAAAGAACACGCTACTGATTTTACTGCACAATCGAAGATAATTACAAATAAATCACAAAACAAATCTGTTCAAAAAATCAAATCAAAGTGCTTGTACCTGATTGTTTTCTGGTTCAGAGAACAACTACTGAAGTGTATGCTATTTTTGGACGTTATATACATTTCAATTATCAATGGAATGTAATTCAAAAAGGATACAGATAATATTGTGCAATAAATGCAATGATGAAAACAATGACATAGGTTATAAGATACATAAGTACATAATAAGAGACAAAGTTAAGGATGTGACGTAAAGTAAGCAAGACGACAAATCATTCTTCTCTTTCTAATGTTTATTGGTTTAAAAGTAATTGAATATTGACCACTGTAGACTAAGTCGAACCCTAATATATAGTAAGAAGTTAATATAATAAAAACGAAATAAAAACTTCTTTCTAACCTGAGAAAAGTTTTAAAGCCGATCCGATAGCTCTTTAAGCAGACACTGGAAAGGAAATATGGAGTTGAAGTTGAGGATGAATTTTTTTTTGATATGAGATCATAATCATAATCATTAAATGAGAGTATCAGACACTTACTGACTAAAAACCCCCTGTTCCTTCTCCTGCTCTGGGCCGAGGTCGCGGTGCCTCATTGCGCTTACCCCGCAACCCCGGCTGAAAGTTGAGGATGATGAACCTAATTTAACATTAAACTGTGTGTACGGATAAAAGGAAGATAGAATTAATTGTATGAGGGTCACGACAAAAATTCAGATAATTTTGATGAGACTAAGGAAGAAAGAAATTGGTAGAATAAAACGCGATACTCTTTACTTGACTTTATGTAATAGCAAAAAGTAGGAACAAATATCGATGTACAACAGCAGTAGTTTGCCATTAGTTAGTGAATATGATCGAACAAGTTAAGCATGATCGTTCTTTACATTAAATCAAAGCGTTATACATTTCATATAAAGGACAAGGAATATGGCTTATGTAAAGGAAGCCCATAGTTCAACGGCTGCTGGCATAGACTGTTGATAATGATGAGGAAGGACAAAATAAAAATGTCTATAAAGTTATTTCACAAAGAGTTAACATGTTTGAAATGACAAAGGTAAGGATTACTGATCACGTTGAAGACAGTGATGACGTCACAGTAGACTAGTACGTGTAATCAAAATTTATCGTTTTATTAGCCGTTTATAATACCTGCCGAATTAACGAGAGGTTTATCGAACCGACAAATAATAGGGCTATAAATTTAACTAAGTGCTTTATCGGGACACTATCTTAGTGTTGTGCTGTGCCACTGATATTGCGCGTCGACGGTTTAAATTCACAATGTGATTCTGAAGTTTTTTGATCATTGAGTGACTAATGTATCAAAATTTGAAAATCTTTTTTTTATTCTAAAGGTCGGCAAAATTGCAATTACAACAAGGCGATTGGCGCCTCCCATAGACACCCAGAACACCAACCACCGAATACCAACCGTAAAGGTTACGGTTAAGGTTTACAAGTACGTTGCCGACCTTTTGGGAATAAGGGTTTCGGATATCTAATGTTTCAGATTTTTGTATGCTCTGAAACGTGTCCTCTCGATTTCATTGTATTTTATGATGATACTAGCCGTCTTCCCCCGTGAGAAGTTGGACCTATCTCGCTAACAACGAAACGGTCACTTTTCTCAATTTTCCCCTCTACTTTTATGATATTTTCTTTGATAAGAATCTTCTCCAGACAACAATAAATACAACAAAAAAAGAAATGACAAAATTGGACCAGGTGTGGTTGAATTATGTGATATGTGAACCAACATATTTTCCGAATAATTTTATATATAAGTAGGCAGATCACGTTTCAAGACCAGAGGCAATTTTAAAATGGCATTAAAAATTGTCTGTCAGTACTTTGAATGGAGCTAGTATTGGTAGGTCCATGTTTATTCAATGTAGTAGTTCTACTTATTGTCGATTTTAATTTTAATATTTTTTTCCTCAACTGGGGTGTAAATGCCTAATCATGGGATGGCTTACAACTATTTAATGAATAGAAACAAAAATTAGAATGATTAATCAGAGCATCGATAGCCAATCGCAATTTTACTAAACCAGGGATTTAACAGCGGATGATAACGATGAAGGTAGGTACAAAGGACGTTTCTGGAACATTATTTTACGAAATTACATGCAATCAACAAAAAGTTATGATTTTGATGCCAATGAACTTAAGTGACGTCAAAAATTGTGCATTTTAAAGGTTAAAAATGTGGTGGTTAGCTGTATCTAACTGTGTGTGCCCGGACCAGACTAGAAGCAGAACTGATCCATTATTAAACTTCTGTACAGTATGGGAGGGGGTATCGTCAAATGATTCAGGAAGTATCAGTCTCTTACCGACTGAAAACCACCAGACCCTATTCCTGTTCCAGGACGAGGCTGCGGTGCATTATTGAACTTGTCCCACAACCCCGGCTGGTACACGGAGACTTACGCTAGTAATTTGTTAGTCTCTAATTTCAGTCTGCTTTCTCGTATTTGAATCGTTCATCGACTTCAATTATAGCACTGTAATTATATGTCTATCTTTTATTGCAAATTATCTATAATTTTTTTTCCTAAAGGTTAAGTTTTTTGGTGGATCACATAGACAACCATTTTTGCCTAGAAATCCTTTTGAAGCAGTTTCGGTTTTGTTATCATTGACGTTTGTATTTTGCGGCATTTCGTTTCAAATAATATCCAATACCCAACTATAATAAACCTAAAGACATTTTTCTTACTCTCAGAATTGAGTACCCTATCTTCATTAGTTCGAGCTAGATGTCGGACTTACTCCTTTTTTCCATCTATTAAAGTTTCAATATCTTCTACATCCAGCCTAATGGTAGCATTTCTTTTTATATTTTTAATTCGATTAGCCACAGAACAAATAGTTTAAGATTCATTAGGAATCTTTAATGTAACTACTGTAAGTCAAGTTAACATTTTAGTATGTAGGTGGATTTAGATACTAGGCTCGATAAGGATTAAAATTAATAACATATGACGTATACATACTATTATAGGTAGATTATATTGTCATAAATAAACACCGTATTTCCAGGCGCCAGCAACGTGACGTAATCTCGGAATCTTTTTGTCCTTAAGGTAAAAGGGTCTTGATAGGACTCTTTTGCCTAAGGAAGATTAAAACCATAGTTCACCTTCTTTTGTCTAGAAATCAGATTATCTTAAATGACCTCTTATCTACCATTTCTATGTCCCCTGAAGGAAGACATCCACAGCAGTCTTCCTTCTCCGCCGGTCTTGAGCTTCACGCATTATCATCCTGTGGCCTACGAGCCCACTGCTGGGCAAATCCTCTTCTCACACTTGGAAGGTTTGAACATTATTCACCACGTTTGCTCAAAACAAACTGAACTTATAGTTAGAAATTATAAGTCAAGATTTCCTCACGATGTTTCACTTCATCGTACGTTAGTGGTGTCTAAATAATCATAGATAGTAGATATAACTCGGAAAATGTCACATTGGTACTTGCAAAAGAAGTGGGCGCTTTAACCTCCTGGCCACCAATACATACTCTTTGCTCCACGTCAATACGATGTTTGCCGCTTCTGCCATTACAGCTCGACGCCAGATGTGGCTACATTCATATAACACGCAATAAAAAAATACATTATGTCATTTTTTTTTTTTTGTCATAGGACTGCAAACGAGCCTACTTTTTTTTACGTCCTGATGGTAAGCACTCAGCGCCACCCATGGACATCCGCAACAATGGAGGAGTTATGAGAGCGTTGCTGACCTTTTAGGGATTAGCGATTTGAAGATTTGTTGGGATTGGGGGAGGGAAAGAATTGAGCCTCCAGTAACCGAACTCACATTGTTCTCACATAAGGGTACAATAATGTATACTAAATATTATATTAGTGAAATTGTAAAACTTTTTTTTAAAGATTAACGATGGAGTTTCTAGCTCGTTCTTCTCCATTTGAATCTACAATTTGGAATGACGCACCTAGCTTCACTGACGAACAGACTGACAGACTACTTTTCTATTTTGACGTTTCAAAAATACCTATTTATGGTTCAGTTGGAATAAATGATTTTGACTTTAACACACGGCGAAACACAACGTAACAAAAACAATCAAATTGTTTCACGCCGGTTTTTTGTGAGGCCGAGCCTATACATTCGTGCTGAAGCATGGCTCTCCCACACTTACACTATACATTACATCTTGATGTAACAAACACGATCTACGAACCCAGTTAACGCAGTTTTTCATAACAATAATTCTTTGTCTATCAAATAATAGGTCTTTACCCATGAAATTGCCGTTTTGCATGTAAAAATTTAAACGAATTTTTTGATTTGAAATGCGATGAAAATGTAACACTAATCAATAAACAAATGACTACTTTTGGAAAAAGAATCCCATGTTTTTAAAACAAAATTAATTTGAAATTAGAATTCTTAGCCAAACAAAAACTATTTTGATTTGAAATGGCCAGTACTGCAGAACGGCAATTTCATAGGTAAAGACCTATTATATTTTTATGATTGTTTATTGCCTACGTGTCAATGTAGTAAAGTCTAAAGTTCAGCAATTATAATAATTTACACATTCCATATGTGTAAATTTTATTGTTCATTGATGATATTACAAATTTATTTATCTCTCTTTTTGATACGAGGTATCAAACTATATCCTTTTATGATCAGTAGTACATCAGGCTTGAATATTACACTTGATTGCATGATTTTATTAAAGATAGTGTTACAAATAAATGATTATTATTATTATTATATTACAATTTGAAACAAAAAACATCGGGGTTCAATGAACTCCCATACCTAATAGGTTTTTAGTCTGGGATATCCAGCATAAATGCCCCCCTTCGAACAGAATAATACCAAGGCCTCACAGAATGCCATCGTGATACAATTCCTTCTCAGTATTTCGTCGTGTGAGAAAGCTTCCCGGAAGCCCAATCACTTTTAAAGGCCCAATTTTCTAATCCATAACAACCCAGAAATGGCCGATTACGGTAGTTTCCAACTAGTCAAATTCAATACATTTATCCAAACGTCAAAACCGATACGTTTCTATGAAATTTGTATGAAAAACTGAGCTATGACGTCATAACTTTTTTTTTTGCGTCAAATAGCTTACTTATTTCTTGATAATTAGCCAAAAAAATCTAAAGATTTGTGTATCGATCGATCGATGAATAGTATAGTTATTTTTCAATATTTTATTGTATTGAAACGCCGAAATAATTTATTTTTGACCTAGGAAACTACCCAATTTTTATAGGCAGTGCTTGTATACCATCAGAAGATCGATCTGACAGTTTCATTTGACGCTACTGACTATGCCAATAAAAATAACGTTTGGAAATATTCGCACCTACTTAATTCGTGCCCTTGCATCAGCAGATATTTTTTTTATCCTAATCTTAACTCTGGTGTAAATAAAAAAATTAAACTCGTTATTAACATGTCAACTATGGTGTCAGATAACCAGGAAACCTTTTGATTCATCAAATCATAAACACAATCTCAATAAGCATGCGAAGTCACGGGCCCGTGTTCCAGGCGTCAGGGATCGAGAGGTGATCTCCGGCCACTGTAAGCGCGGG